AGAAAATCCTCCCTTCCTTGAGTTGCTTTTCTAGGTATTCTGTCACGTCAACAAGAAAAATAACTAACAGGGTTACCCAAATCCACACACGCCCTAGCCTCTACTCTAACATGGTGATGTATTTGCATGGAACTTACCCATACCCTCCTCTCACAGACTTTAAAGGAATCTCTACATTATTTACAATAACCCAGCACAAGGCAAATGCTATATAAGTAGTTGCTACTCTTGTGCTTAGGGACTAAAAACAAGAAAATATGGATACGCTCAGTTCAGATCCAATTGTCCTCTGGAACCTTAGATCCACGATTGAATGTGTTAACAGAACCATGCATACAAGGAGCTGACTGTGAAACCCGCTGTGTCAGTATCCACGATTTTGCCAGGTTCCTCTGATCATCCATCTGCTAAACCTTCTTTGAATGTACGTCACCACACTCTTCTCCCATGCCTTCAAAGAGCTGATCCATTGTCTCTGAGATTCCATGCTCCTGTGCTGCCATCAAAATTTCACATCCCTCTCCTACAACCACAGTGGGACCCGATCATTCTCTCTCAGGATGTTTTTGAAAGCCCTCCCCTATAGTTTCTCCCCTTCTTACCTCTTTGCAGGTCACTGAACTTTTTTTTTCTCTTTGTTTACATTGTTAACTTGAAACATACAGCCTTTCTCTTGACCAAAACCTCCAACATTTTAAATCAAGTATCAGAGGAGCTACAGAAAATAAGCCCTTCATCACTTATTTAAACCCAAGTAACAAGCACTGAAATTGCAAGCATGGCATATCTTTTTTTTCTTTTTTAATGACTTTCTCACCCATTCTCTGAAAACTGCTCTCCTCATATATAAAACGATAGCCACACCTCGAAAGCACAGGCTCTAAAAATCTTCCTTTTGCTGATTTACACACAATAAAAATGGCAGGTGGTACAAAAAAATTAGCCAATTAGCCCCCCCCCCCGCACAAAAGAAAGCACCCATCATTTTAAAAAGGAGATGTTGTGAAGACATAGCTGTTTTATTTAACAGCTATTCATCTCTATTGAATAAACATTTTCTGGTATGCATTCTGTTAATTGACCTGCCAGCATATGCTGTATATGGAGAGACTTCTAAACATTATGTTCTATGTAATATGCTTATCTGAAAAAGCTCTCATTTGCAGCAATATGGAAATAAAATCCTGCTTTCAAAAATTCAAGACTTTTCAAATGCATTAATCCGCATGGTTTATGAAATTGCTGTGGACATTTTAAAATCCTTCCTTTAAGGAGGGGGGGGGAAACATTAACAATCAATAATAGTATCTGTTGCTGAGTTCCATAATGGAGTAGTCATTCTCCAACAGGGAACTCAGAGACACAGGAATGGGGGCAGGCATAAAAGGAAGCAGAAAGCAGTCATGGTATAGGGTAAAAGAACTACTCAAGGGCTGTAAGAGTATGTTCAGAATTGCTATCAAATTACATTATTAGAAAGCCATTGTAATAGTTCCAGGGCCTGGATATAAATAGAGTTGAAACGTTATTGAGACAATAAGCTTTGTTTTGAGGAGGGTAGACAGGGCACTTGCGTGGGGTGGGCTCCTCCAACTAATGGCTGCTCCTCTTCTTGGCTGGTAGCTTCAGAAAGTGGTATATCTTCTAGCCTACATGCCTGGCTGCTTTGCCTACAGGGCAGGGGCAGTACTCTGCTGGGCGGAGCCACAGTGCACCACAGGGCCCCAGGGCTCCCTGTCTTCGGCAGCGATTCATCTCCCAACAGTTGCTGTCCTTGTGCAACAGTCGCCCAAGGTTGCCAGACACTCCGCTTTTTAGAGAGTGGATGAGAAAGCAAAGCCCTCCCATTTCTCCAGGCTGTCAGCTAGATAATTCTTTCAAACAAATTCTGTTTGAGACTCAACTTAGGCAACCAATGGGGTCACTATGGTAGTGGCTCTTTGTGAGAGCTGCAGCTTGTGGAAAAAAAAAGGGGGGGGCACTTACTGTCATTTGTAGTCATGGTGGGTAAGAAAGAGCCCAACGCAGCTCACTGGGCAACACCCTCCCAAGAGCCCCCGGCTGAATCACACCAAAAGGCCGTGGTACAAGTAGAAGATTCTGAACCATTCCCTGTAACTCACGGTGTAATTAACTCATTTTTACACCAGGCAGCTTGAAGCCAGATCTTTGTGTTTCGTGGACTTCTGACATATTTTACAGTTCTAACTCTCTTCCACTGTCCTACATTAATCAAAGCTGTAACCCCTGTTGTCTTTGTACTGTGGAATCAGAATGTGCCCCTGGCGAGGAATGGGGGAAAAGTCAACAGGAATTAAATTTCAGTGTAACTGTTTACTCAACTGTGGCCTGCAGATATTGAAATTTTATCCGTGGTTTTGTGTGACTACCGCAGTAATGAATTCAGCATGGCTGCGATTTTCTCAGTGCTCGCATTCTCACTTCGAGTAAAAAAACCTGCAGGAGAAAAATGACGAAAACCACGCAGGTCCACTAGCAAAACTCACTATTTCTCCATACAGTTTAATTGCTGCTGTTTTCCGGGCGGCAGAAAACTTGGGGATCTTGGGGGGGGGGCTGGAACATTCGCGAGCCTGTGGTTTTTCCTCTTGTCACCTATGTACTCCCATTTTCCCCACCAACCTGTGCAGAGGCGGCTCTTACACAGGGAGTCAAAGCAGCTGCTGATGTTTTATAAGGCCTGAAAAGGCTTGCCAACCACAATAAGTGGGGCTTTAGCCACAATCCTAGACCCGATGGATGCCTTTCTCCCTCAAACATATCAGTGACAAATAGACAGAAAATTGCCGTGAAATATTTATTTTCGAGTTTCGCAAAGTGGAATCAAAAATCAAGTACTTGAACACTGTCTGAATGACCATTTAACAACACATTCTTCAGAAGAGCTCAAGCCTAGGTAACTTGCTGGTGACTCACTATTTTTAAGAAAGATGCAACTGAAATCTGCTCTTTTGCTGTTTGTTAAAATGTTTTTTGTTTTGTTTTTGGGTTTTTTTGTTGTTGTTGTTGTTGTTATATTTGGGTGTAAGAGAGGGAGGGGGGATTTTGCAGAACTTGTTCCTCTCTTACCATGTGGGTGCTGGGCATTGAACTCAGGTCCTCAAGCTTGGTGGCAAGCAAGCATTTATACCTGCTGAATCTTTGGTTAAGTACTTTGAATATTCTGAATATTTGTCAGTCGTTCTGGTAAAATTCAAAAGAAGTCAGTCTCCCACTAACTTAACTAATGTACTCTAGACAAAAATGACTTGGGATGTACATTGCATTAGCCCCATCGCAACTACCTCATAAAGACATGGTTGATCTTGCCCTCCATCTTAATGGCACAGGAATTGGTATCCTAAAAATCCTAACTACCCATCTAAGCACAAATAGATGAGGATATCCTATAGATGACCACCAGCACAAATGCGCTCTTGCCATTTACTGCCGGGTTTTGCTAACAACCTTGACGGTTAGGACTCAGCCATCATGCATTTAAATTACGTGCACAAAACTAATACAACTCAAGTGGCATAAATTCTAGCTGATAGGGTGACAGAGGCAGAAATGGTTGGGGTGGCAAGAAAAGAGGTCAGATCACACCCCAAGATCCCCAAGAACTGGCATGTTTTGTCTGCCAACTCTCCTTGCTTTTTCCTTTTCATTTGGGCCTTTCCCCAAAATGGTTCCCTGGTCCCATGCTACATCCACAAATATTTAATGGGTTCACAGTCTACTGTGGTATTTTAATGATGTATTTAGAATACTGACATAGTTTAATGCATGTCTGTCACTCAACTATTTGGGAGGTGGCAGCAATAGGATGGGGAGTCCATGGTCAGCTCTGGCTACACAGCAATTTCAAAGTCGGTACCCTGAGCTCCATGAGAACTGGTCCCAGAAAGAGAAAATGTCAGCCTCTTCCCAAGAGCCCCAGCCCTAAGAATTTGATTCAAATTTTTAAAAAGTCGTTTGAAAGGCTTGTCCTTTTCTCCTATGGCATTTCCCAACAATTTCTCTATGGAAAAGTTACAAAATTTCCTCAAGATATTTCATTCTCCCCCCCCACCCCCCAAATACCTGATTACAAATGGTACCACAACTACGCGCAAGATAAATGAATCAAGGGCAAAACCTGCCCTGTTATCAGCAGCAAAAACTCGTAATATTTCCTGATCCCACAGGGTGGGAAACCAAATCCAGTCTTCAAGGAAATGCTATTTACATTTGAAGTTTTACCAACACAATACCAAGTCTTAGGTCACCTGTACCACTGGGAAATGGTTCAACAGTCACTCCCAAGGACTGGCTTCTACCCTGGGAGGGCAGAGAGGGAGTGAAAATGTCCCAGGCAAGGGACATGTTGAAGAGGCCCAGACAGGAGAGCAGTTAAAACAACACCAAGATTTTAGCCAACACCGTCTGCTGTCAGACTCCAGGAAACATACGCAAACTCCTACAACCTAGTTCCTAGAGGTAGGAAGTCACGTCCCAAACTGATACCTGTCTTATAGACATGGCCCTGTCATTAAACTGTGTCCACTTATATTTCTATTTGTCTCTGTTTTCTTTATTTGATGACCTATATTTTTATTTGTCTCCGTTTTCTTTGTATTTTCTCCTCTCTCACGTGGTCCTTATTTCTGCCTCCCCTAGCTCTGATTTTCTTTCTTCATAAGGTTTAAGAATGCTTTTATTTAAGTACTGTTTTACTTCTCAGCTACTTATCTAAAGCATCAACCATTTTCTTCCAGAGAGTCATCTTAACTGAATAGTCAAAGTTTAGGTGAAACATTGAGGGTAGAAGAGACAGGCTCAAGGTCCATTCAACTTTAAGTCTAACATTCATTATCCAGTCAGACCCAGCACCTCCCCAGGGTTTCAGACTTAGTCTCAGCCAGGAGGACCCCAGGATGCCTAAGAATATGCAGATGGAAGGGCCTGCAACCTGGACAGTGGCTCTGGTCCCACTCACCACCCCAGTCCCAGCCAGGTACCTGCTGCTGCTGCTGCTGGACGTGGGGAAGGTCGGCTGCCCCCAGATCCACCGCTGGTGCCTCCCCGTTGGATCGGCCTTCACGAAGTGCCCCGCACTCTAGCAAGTGGTTGCCACTGCTGGACCCGTTCTGGATGGCTGATCCGTTACTTTTTGTCTCAGACCCAGATTCTTGCATCATGACTCAAAAACCTGAGAGAAGGATTTCCAGAAGGGGGGGGGGGGGAAGGAAAGAGAGAGAGATGGGGAGGGGGGAGAGAGACAGCTGTTAAAACAGTTGCTGTTCAGGAGTTCTGCCTTAACATGTTGCCAAACTCTGTAAGCAGTTGTCATTCTCCTTTACTTTTTTCTCCCACATGAGCAGACTGGTCCCCTACATTAGGACTAGGGGGCTGTCACCCTCAAGTCAAGTGCCAGTATGATTTCAAAGGTATCATTCATTCCCTTAGGAAAAATAAGACAGGTTCAGGAGATCCGAGAAGAATTTAGGAACCAATTTCTCTGACCTGGTTTGGATATTTTGCTAAAAACCAAAATACTTGAAGTCATCATACAAGGTATAAATTTAAAATATGATCAGGTCCAGACGCTATGAAGCAATGGAACATGCCCAGAGAAGAAATATTCTCCAACTTAAGTTTATCAAGTGACAAGACACAAGACCCCTTGAGGAAATGAGTGTTTAAATCCTGCAGTCAAACACCAAAACCATAGTAAGGATTATAAATCCTTGGTACCATCTGGGCAGCTACAAATTGGGCATTCCTTGTAATATAGACCACTGTTAATAGAGAGAGACGGGCAAAAAGGAACTTTCTATTTTTCAAATGTTTAATGAATCCAGACTATGATGACCACTGTCTGTGAGGAAGCACATTCAATGCTAATTTTCCTCATGGTGGATTACCGATCTCCAGGGTGGTAGGTATAAGGGCTGATGTTTTAGGGTGATCCTTCATACTATTAACTTTGGAGAGACGTGTGGTCTACCTAGGCAGACCACGAAAAGGTCAGATTTTTTTTTCTATTTTAAAATTTAATTTATTTTTTTATTAATTACAATTTATTCACTTTGTATCCCAGCTGTAGGTCCCTCCCTCGTGCCCTCCCAATCTCACCCTTCCTCCTTCATCTCCTCCCATGCCCCTCCCCAAGCCCACTGATAGGGGAGGTCCTCCTCCCCTTCCATCTGACCCTAGCCTATTGGGTCTCATCAGGACTGGCTGCATTGTCTTCTTCTGTGGCCTGGGAAGGCTGCTCCCCAGCAAGGGGAGGTGATCAAAGAGCCAGCCATTGATTTTTTTAAAGTCCTACATGTGGGGCTTGGAATATGGCTCAGTGGCACAACACTTGCCCAACATGGATGGGATACTGGGTTCACTCCTTAGTGCTGCCAGAAAGTAAATTAATTAAATAAAAAAAACTAAAGTACTAAAATGTCTACCAGGAAAAAAAAAATATGGTATAAAATAAATAGAGAAAAATCTGTTCTCTCCTTTTATGTTTCAGAGCTTTTTTCCCCCCTTTTTGGAAATTGGCTACTATGACAAAGCTCAGGATGGCCTTGAACGCGAAATCCTGTGCCCCCCTAGGTGCTAGCCTTACAGGCAAGGACAATACCTAACACTAATTATACAACTTCATTGTTGTTACTCTCTGAGCAAAAGTAGGATTAGTTTGGGGAGCCAGATTAGGTACCCAACCAGGACAAAGTACGACTACTGACTGCCTGTGGCACTGTGCTAGACTCTCCATAATGCAGGTGATTCCTACATGTTCTGTAGCCTCCCAACAACAATCACCAGGTCTACTTCAGAGAGAAGACAACTGAAGCTTGAGATGGGGAGACGGCTCAACAGGTGAAAACACTTGCTACATAAGCCTGGAAGCCTGAGCTCAGATCCTCGGAGCCCAGATAAGAGCTGGATTCAGGAAAAAAAAAAAAAAAAAAAAAAGAGCTGGATTCAGTAGTAAAAGCAACCATCTATGAGGCAGCTAGTCTGGCTTGTGTAGCAGCAAAGGAACCCTTTCTTAAACAAGGTCGGGATCTGTCCTCTGACCTCCGAACATTCACAGTGGCATGCATGTGTCTACACCATGCCCAGCCTCCACCACAGGTAAATTATGAAAGGGGGCAAGGGGCTGGGAAGAGGCCTTGTGAGCTAATTTCACGTCCACTGTGCCACAGCTAGCCACGGGGAACACAGGATACTCTATTGGATGCTTGAGCGCTCACTCACTGAAGGCTGGGGTACAGGGTCACAAGCCTAGTTCACAGGCTAGGACTTGGAAAGGAAAAATATTAGTCACTAAGGGAAGCAGTCAGTTCAAACATCAAAGCTGAGAAATGCTCAAGTCGTTAAAACTTTAACGTGAATTCCAAATGCCAGACAAAACAGAAGACATTTCATTCGCTGCCACGTCGAACCTGGAACACTCTGGACAGCCTCACAGGAGCCTGCGCTTTTGTTAAACACTAACAGAAGCCTGTTCTCTGCTGCTTGCCTGGAAACCAAACAGAAGAATGCCCACTTAAAAACTCACATCTCATCGGTCTTCAGTACAGTCGACTGCAGCTACAATGCAGTTTTCGGGAACTCAAAGACATGCTTTCTCAGTTAGTCCAGTTCCGGAGTTAGGAACGGCATTTTGTGTTAACAGGTGTCAAATAGAGAGAGCGACAACAGGTGATCTCGCTTGTCTCTTTGGGTCAGACTTTTCTGGTAATTACTATCCTTTAGAAACTGCCTGTGGCTCCTTCCCTCCCACCCTGAAAAGAATCTATCAAAACAGAACAAAACCTAACAAACGCCAAGTAAACAAAATGCCGCCCCAAAAAGATACAAGACAGGCACCAAGAAACCGGCAACATGAAAATATTTCTCCATCTCAAAACAGCCAATGTGCCCAAGCCTGGGCGTTTTTCTTAGTGCTTTACTTTCTCTACCGTACACTTGCCCATTTCTGTGTTTGGGTTCCTAACAGAATAGATTTCGGGCTCGATGTAGCTCAGCGGCACAGCACGCGCCTTGCATTCGACAAGTCCTAAGTCAGTCCCCCATACTGCGAAGCAACAAGGGAGTGGAGAGGTATCTCAGGGTAGTTCGCAATAAAATCCATTTATTATTAGTTACAAAGAATGCTACCTAAACAAAACAGATGATCCCCATCTTCTTGAAAGTCGGCCTATGCCGAAGAGCAGACTGGCAGGGCAGGCAAATTGTCTGTATAAGCTCTCCACACCTGCTCTCGGACGGGAGAGCGCAGTCATACATTGTGTCCTGACGAAGCAGACCTGTGCAAATTCTGCTGGGATCTGGCGCCTGAGAACAGGTGTCTGGAAGCCTGACCCTTCTTTAGTTTCCTTGGTTGACACCATCATGGTAGGTGGGCTGAGAGCCATCTCTGATGCACAAGAGGAGGAGCATCTCCGGGCAGCTCCAAAACAGACTGCTCAGACCTTCAAGACAACTTGAGCAGCCCTGCGGCCAAGTGACTTGGCTCATGAATTGGGTTTGTGAGAGTGCAGGCTTTGGAACCAAAACCATATAAAGGATTATTTTGGTCTAAGGATGTCCTTAGCCGAGTGCTAACTGGGTACGTGCGCTACAGGAGTTTTCTGTAAGGTACAACAGCGATCAGGGACAAACAGCTTCATGAAATGGCCATTTAGAAAATGAGTTTTGGTGTCTTAAGAGTATTTCTGACACACTCTGGGCCATGAGTGTTTCTATCAAACATTCCAGGGCATTTCGTAAGCTTTTGTATCTCCATATAAAGCCCTCTGATACATTTCTTCAACTCCCAAGTCTCCAGGTGGGAGATAACTGTTATTCCCATTTCAGAGAGCAAGGACGAGGCTGGGGAAAGCACTGTCTTCTCTCCACAGAGCTCCGCACTCTTTTCTTGTAGAGGGTTTGTCCCAAGACCTTTGTTTGCTTACCCTCTGCTCCTCCTCTGAGACTCCCCCTTGTAATAAAGAATCACTTTGTCCCATGATGAACTGAAAGCACGTCACGTTGTGCGGGTGTCTATGGTTGCTTGAATGTGAGGACCGCATCTATGGAGGCTTCGGCCACCTCACTTCTCCCTTACGCCTTCTGCATGTGACCATGACCTGCTTCAAACATCTGACTGCTCATACACTGCAACCCTACAAGGCTGCCACTGCTGTGCCATGGCTTTATGGCTGTCAGAGCCATAAAGAAGCTCAAACCATACACTTGCCACCTCTCATAGAAATATGACAGAGATAGCAATTTCAAAGGCCCACTTTTTATTTTTATTTTTTTCAGCAGACTTTAGAAAATATAAGAACTGGGTCTTACATGCTTATTTATTGTTGTTGCCAACAGAGCTACACTGTGGAAACCTTCTGGAAAATTCATAATATCCAGGCCAGCGTATTTATAGTAAATTAAAACACAGCTTTATTATTATGATTATTTCCTTGGTTACAGTGTTGATGCTGAAAATTTAGGGAAAATAAAGCCCTTGTTATCACGCCTGTGAAAGATTTTAAGCTAACAAAAAGTTCAGTCTTGATTCCAGGGCAGTTAATTAAGGTTGACCAAGTCAGGCAGAAGTAAATTAACTTGGCTGATCAATTATTTATATGAAGCAGAATAAATGCCCTTAAAGAACTTGGTCTGTTCACAAAGGGATGTGTAAATTAAACTAAACAGTTTTGTAGAATATGTTTCTACTGCTTTGGGGAGAAGTGAAGTTAAGTGGAATGCCACTTCCAGGACAATGAGCAGAGGAACTGTGTATCACCATCTCTACCCATGCCAAAAGGGCAACCCTCTTCCTTACTGCACATTCTAGGGAGAGTGTAATGCTAAGGACACAACAAAGGCTGGGAGGGAGGGAGGGATGAAAGGAGAGAAGTCCAAGAGCGTTATGATCCCAGAAACAGTAAACATGTGTCTCTGTCTCATCAGCTACTTAACATTTTAGAGGTTAGCAAAGCAAAAGGATGGGCGCACTAGGTTCGTTTCTGGACTTTTTTTTTTTTTTAATCACTCATGTTGTATCAAGATTTTAAAGTCCTTCACAATCTTGAACCTAGCATTCAGAGGAAAAAGAAATACCAACAGACTCTCAAAAGTATGATTTAAAAAAAAAAAAAGCATGTATTTCTTTCAGGGTCTCGCTGAGCAAACGAACTGGTTCCTGTACAATACACACAA